TACGGACGCAGCTGCACTGGGGGCACCCTAGCTGCCCAGCTGCCCCAGCCACCCTGGCCGCCCCAGCCGCCCCGGCCGCCCTGGCCACCCCGGCCACCCCGGCCACCCCGGCCACCCCAGCCGCCCCAGCCACCCCGGCCACCCTAGCTGCCCAGCCTTCCCAGCCACCGTAGCTACCCCAGCCACCCTGGCCGCCCCAGCCACTCTAGCCGCCCCAGCCACCCTAGCCACCGTAGCTGCCCCAGCCGCCCTGGCCACCCTAGCCGCCCCAGTTACCTTAGCCGCCCTAAGCTACCCTAGCTGCTCTAGCTACGCCAGCCGCCCTAGCAGGCATGGATTCATACAGCGCATCTCAGGATCATCTGAAGAGAGCGCGTTCTGATGGGGTGGGAACCAGAGGCCAGCAGGTGTCCAGACAGCTCAGGAGGAGCCCAGGTGCCTGGGGGCTCTGTGCCCCTCTAGTCGCCGGCTGCTTAGCTGATTCTGCGTGGCAAGTGTGTGCACACATGTGTGTGTGATGTGTATTGCATATGTGTGGTGTCTGTATGGTGTGTGGTAGATATGTACATATGTGTGAGTAAGGTGTGTGGAGTGTGTATAGTGTGTGTGGTGTGCACATATATGTTGTGTGTATGGTGTGTACATTGATGTGTGTGTATGGTGTATATATTGGGGTGTGTGTTGTGTGTGTAGTATGCATGTATGTGGTGTGTGTATATTGTGTGAGGTGTATGTGCATGTGTGTGAGTGTGTGTGGTATATATGTGCTTGTGTGGTATTTGCATGTATGTGTGGTGTGTGTTTTATGTATATTTTGTGAGGTGGGTGTGGTATGCGTATGTATAGTGTGTGTGGATGGTTTATGTGTATGTGGTGTGGATGGTGTATATGGTGTGTGTATGTGTGTGTATGTGAGTGTGGTGTGTGTGTGTAGTGTGTATATGTGAGTGTGTGTGTATGAGTGTGGTATGTATATGTGTATGGTGCGTGTGTGGTGTGTATATGTGTGGGTGTGTATGTGTGTGAGTGTGGTGTGTATATGTGTATGGTGTGGGTGTGTGTATATGTGTGAGTGTGTGTGTATATGTGAGTGTGGTGTGTATATGTGAGTGTGTGTGTATATGTGAGTGTGTGTGTATATGTGTGAGTGTGGTTTGTGTGTAGTGTGTATATGTGAGTGTGTGTGTGGTGTGTATATGTGAGTGTATATGTGTGAGTGTGGTGTGTGTAGTGTGTATATGTGAGTGTGTGTGAGTGTGTATATGTGTGAGTGGTGTGTGTGAGTATGTATATGTGTGTGTATATGTGTGTGAGTGTGTGTATATGTGTGTGAGTGTGGTGTGTATATGTGTATGGTGCGTGTGTGGTGCGTATGTGTGTAGTGTATATATGTGAGTGTGTGGTGTGTATATGTGAGTGTGTGTGTGGTGTGTATACGTGAGTGTATATGTTTGTGAGTGTGGTGTGTATATGTGAGTGTATATGTGTGAGTGTGGTGTGTGTAGTGTGTATATGTGAGTGTGGTATGTGAGTATGCATATGTGTGTATGTATATGTGTGTGAGTGTGTGTATATGTGTGTGAGTGTGGTGTGTATATGTGTGTGTAGTGTATATATGTGTATGTGTATATGTGAGTGTGTGTGAGTGTGTATATGTGTGAGTGTGGTATGTATGTGTGTGAGTATGTATGTGTGAGTGTGTATATGTGTGAGTGTGGTGTGAATATGTGTATGGTGCGTGTGTGGTGTGTATATGTGTGTGTAGTGTATATATGTGTGTGTGTATGTGTGAGTGTGAGTGTGACAGGGACATCAGTGTCGTTGGTGAGACCCTCGGCCTGCTCCCGACGTGGCTGTCGGTTGTCCTTGGCCAGCTGTCGTGAGAAGCTGGAGGGGAAGCCCCATGATCGTGTCGGGTTGTTTAGCTCTTTCTCTGCAGTTGGTTGGTGTTGAGAGCGGAGCTGAGTCCTAAGCTCAGAAGAGATCGTCTCTGTCCCGGCTCAGCAGGGCCCCGTGGCCCGTGGAGGAGGGCGGGGCTCTCCGGGGACCCCCGGCCCAGATAGTATTCCTGAAGGAAAAGCTTGTTTTAAATTGGAGAGGCAGAGGGGGTGGGGCCCCTGTCCCGTTCACTCCCCAAGTGCCCACAGTGGCCCCAGGCGAGGCCGGCCCAGGGCTGAAGCCAGAGTTTGGAATCTAGACCGGCTGCCTGGGCCCTCAGCACTGTCTCGCAGGGTCTGCATTAGCAGGAAGCCGGAGTCAGGAGCAGAGCCAGCGCTCCCCGTGGGAGGCGGCGTCTCAGCTGCTGGGCCCAGCGCCCGCCCCACCCGGGCCACATCTGTGGTGGGATTTCTTGCTCCTGTCTGACAAGAGCAGTTGCATTCTCCCGGAGTTCTCAGGCTGTGGCTGGCAAAAGGAGCTGAACTTTTTTTGTTTTTAAAGATTTATTTTGAAAGGCAGAGTTAGAGGGAGAGACAGAGATCTTTCATCTGCTGGTTCGGTCCCCAGATGGCCGCAACGGCTGGAGCGGGCCAGGAACTTCATCCTGGCCTCCTACATTGGTGGCAGGGGCCCAAACACTTTTCTCAGGCCATTGGCCGGGAGCTGGATTGGAAGCGGAGCAGCCGGACACAGTCTGGCACCCGTGTGGGGTGCTGGTGTCGCACATGATGGCTTTACCTGCTATGCTGCAATGCCAGCCCCTGAACTTTTTTTTAAGAGCATCATCATGGCTGGTGATGTGGCTCACTTGGCTAATTCTCCGCCTGCGGCACCGGCACACCGGGTTCTAGTCCTGGTCGGGGCACCGGATTCTGTCCCGGTTGCCCCTCTTCCAGGCCAGCTCTCTGCTGTGGCCAGGGAGTGCAGTGGAGGATGGCCCAAGTGCTTGGGCCCTGCACCCCATGGGAGACCAGGAGAAGCACCTGGCTCCTGGCTTCAGATCGGCGCAGCGCCGGCCATAGTGGCCATTTGGGGGGTGAAGCAATGGAAGGAAGACCTTTCTCTCTCTCTGTCTCTCTCTCTCTCTCACTGTCTAACTCTGCCTGTCAAAAAAAAAATTAAGAGTGTCATCACAGGGAGACAGCGTGCTGCAAGTGCTCCCGTGGTGTCGTGGCCTGTGGCTCAGCCACGTCCAGCGTGGCACCAGTGAGTGCAGGGCCCGAGGCTGAGCCCGTGTTGATGTGGATGTGGTTTTTAGGCTTTGGAGCCTGTTTCCCCTTCTGTGAAGAGAAGCAGGGGCTCCAGAAACGTAAACAAGAACGTGAGAATGCGCCTGCTTCTACAGAAGTGACCTTTCGGGGGGAGCGGACAGTGGGGAGGGCGGCAGCTAAGCCGGGCTCTTGTGGCTCCTGGGCCACGGTGCCTCCGTAACCCAGTCTGTCCCCACCGCGGGGGAAGCCACCGTTGAGGATGGCCCGCTGCTCCTTTCTGGGGTGGCACGTGCTGTGTCTGGGGACAGAGAAGGAGGCCTGTGCCCGCCACGTCCCCTTTGCCTTCTGTAAAGCAACGAGGGGGACAGGGGGACAGGGTGTCAGGGGCGTCGCCCGGGGAGGACCTGGCACCTGTTCCCCGCCCTGGCGGGGGTGGGGGGCCCTAGCCCAGCGGTCTGCCGAGCCTGTGAGGTTTCCAAGCCTCAGCCAGGCCAGCTGTGTGTGTTCTATGTGCGCTCCAGGGCCCTGTAGCACCAGTGGCTGTGAGTTCAGCACATGGCTGGTTCTGGGCTCGGTCCCTCGCCATACGAGCGAGGCAGTGCCTGCTGCCTTTTGTGAGGGTCAGAATCACCTGGGAGACCTGCTGGACCCAGTGGTCAGGCACCCAAGGGACCCTGCGTCTCCAGGGCTGGGGTGTGCGTTTAGAGCTCATTCGCAGGTGATAGGAAGCTGGCGGCCTGGGGCTCGCGCCCTGAGACGCGGTGACACCCCTAGGATGTGTTCAGGCGGGCAGTCTGCTGCTCAGGGGAGGCCCTTGGCCGCAGGGACAAGGCTCTGTGGGGTGCTCCGAGGGGCTGTCTCTTCCCCTGCTGTCTGCTCCTCCCTCTGGGGCCACAGGGCGCCTGCTGTGAGCCGTGCCTCCCCCTCCTGAGCTCTGCCATTGCTGCCATCGACCCGGAGACGGAAGTCTTGGCTGCCCTCAAGTCGGTCTGTTGTGACCTGGAATGGCCAGTGGTCGCCAGCTGCTGCCTCCCTGTGCAGCCCCTGCTTCCGGCGTCCCATCCGTGGCTCAGTCGGCCAGGCAGGCTCTTTGTCCGCCTCAGGCCTGGCCAGCTGCTGCCCCTCCGCCTGGCCCTCACTTGCTCTGGGGCTTCCCCTAGCCCTGTGGGATCCGCTGGTGCCTCTGCAAGGACTCCTGTGTCTCCCTGGCCCTGTAGGCTGTGTCAGGTTTAGGTCGTGAATCTGAACTGGCCGCTCTGTGTCTGCATGCGCTGTGGCTCCCCGAGGACAGGGCTCCCGTGCCATGCTCACTCTTGCACCTGCGGCTACAGAGGCTTTCAGAGTCCGTCTGTCAGGCAGGCACTGCCAGGGAGGACGTCGGGACACAGGGAGGTGCAGTTCTGTCTGGCAGTGGCCCGGCCACTGAGCTGCACAAGCAGGATCTCAGCTGGGTCTGTGGGATCCAACCCTCTGAGCGACACTGAGTGACGCGCTCAGAGTCCCGGGAGCCCTGGCTGTGGGGCGCAGGTCCCTTCTGGGCCCACTAAGACTGGCTTACGTTGTGGCGCAGCAGGTGAAGCTGCCGTGTGGGACGCCCGTAGCCCGTATCGGAGCTCCGGGTCAAGCGCTGGCTGCTGCCGCACACTCTGGGAGACGGCGAGTGCTGGAGTCCCTGCCTCCCACGGGGGAGACCTGGCTGGAGTCCGGGACTCCTAGCTTCATCGCGGCCCCCAAGCATTTGGGCAGTGAACCGATGGACGGAAGATCTCTCTGTCACTGTACCTTTCAAACAAACCGTTAAAAGAATTGGCTTCTTCAAGGTAACCAAAATGGCCTTTTCCTGTTTTTCAGGTGCACTGGGAAGCAGACGTTGGAGTTTGCAGCTGGTCTGTAGCGTCTGCATTTCGCTGGGAAGCACCTCGGACAGGTGAGGGGGTGGTCGTGGGGCCGCTTGTGCCCCGTGAGTTGTCTTGGAGCTGTAGCTGTGACAGAGTGCATGGTAACCAGCCGTGTTCACATGCGTGAGAGGACGTTCTTCAGTGTCGGGCAGCATCTCTAACAAGGCTGTCAACGGTGACCACCTGCTGCTGGGGGTCACCCCCCACTGCTGGGAGTCACCCCCCCCCGCTGCTTGGGGTCACCCCCCACTGCTGGGAGTCACCTCCCCCCGCTGCTTGGGGTCACCCCCCCAACTGCTGGGAGTCACCTCCCCCAACTGCTGGGGGTCACCTCCCCCCCGCTGCTGGGGTCACCCCCTCCATTGCTGGGAGTCACCCCCCCACTGCTGGGGGTCACCTCCTCCCCTGCTGCTGGGGGTCACCCCCCCACTGCTGGGAGACACCTCCTCCCTGCTGCTGGGGGTCACCCCCTCCATTGCTGGGGGTCACCCCCTCATTGCTGGGGTCACCTCCCCCCGCTGCTGGGGTCACCCCTCCACTGCTGGGAGTTACCTCCCTCCCACTGCTGGGAGACACCTCCTCCCCTGCTGCTGGGGGTCACCCCCCCACTGCTGGGAGACACCTCCTCCCCTGCTGCTGGGGGCCACCCCCTCCATTGCTGGGGGTCACCCCCCCACTGCTGGGGTCACCTCCCACTGGGGGTCACCCCCCTGGGGGTCACCTGGTGCAGCTGTTTCCTGGGCACTGCTGACCTTCTCATCCCGGGCCGAGCCCTGCTCTCTGGTGTCTGTTTCAGCATCGCTCCTGCTCACGGTACAGCCAGCCCGTTCCACCTGTCACGCCCCAGCCTTGTGATTGAGGGACTCCTGGGGGCTCGGCCTTCCTGCCCCCCACCCCCAGCAGAGCAGGCTGGCTTCTCTGTGTTGAGGCCGCGTACCACGCCTGCTTGCTTGTGTGCGTTTCCCCACTCGCCTGTCAATTCCTGTTACCATCTCTCACCAGCGTGGCTCCAGCCTGGAACAGATTCTCAGTACTCGAAAGACTATTAGACGAGGGGGGAAATGCCCTGGTAAACCAGTGCATGGCCACGAAAAGCCACAGCGTACTCCTAAGCCAGTTAAGGGCCTGGCAGAGGGGCTCTTTGAATTCATTGCGTGACTGCGCACATGACCACACTCAGGCGAGTGCTGGCCGTTAGCGCCTCGGCACAGGAGTGTGGATTTCCCCCCCCGCTGAAAGGGTAAGGAGTCGCACATTTTATTAGACTGTGTTCCCGCGTGGCGTAAGTGACACGCCCATTCTAGCTGGTGCCGTGCCCGGTGGCAGCCCGTGGTTGTGAGCTGCCAGCCCTGCCACTGAGAGACCCAGTTGTCCTCCCGAGCCTGGAAGCCCCCGTCAGCCCCGTGGCTGCGGTGCTGACCCCCGTGGCATTGAACCTGAACTTGGGTGCACAGTCGGCAAGCAGCAGAATTCCCCAGTTGGCACCCTACGGGAAATAACATTTTTCAGTAGTTTGAGCATTTATCTTAAAATGCTTAAAAATTAAATAATTGTAATAAAGAGTTTTCTTTTTAATTTTTGAAACTGTGCACTTCTGCCCTCCCATACCTCTTAGGAGGTCATCCGGTACTAAGAGACAAAGGGCTGGCTGGGGGCCTTTACCCTGATTTCCTGCTGGGGAGCAGAAAACCCCAGGGCAGCGGTCAGCTGGGTGTCGGGGGCCCCGTGGGACCTGCGTCCCTGTGGGAGCAGTGCGTGAGCCTGGGTGCTACTTCGGTCTCACCAGAGGGTGTTCTTGGGCAAGGCGGGCGGGGGGCCGTGAGCCAGCTCCGTGGCTGCTGCTGCAGTAGGGCGCGCTGCTCCGCCCTCGGTAGCTTTTAGGTGCGTGTGGCATGAAAGGGAGAAAGAAGCCGTCTCCTGGGTTGTGTGTGTGCTTTCGTGTGAGGTCCCAAGCAGCGAATGCCGCGGCCACTGACTGCCAGTGTCTGCTCCCTGCTGCTGGGTCACGGCGGCACCGCCGGCAGAAGGAGCCAAACACAGGGCGGCAGGGAGACCCTCTTCACGGTCCTCCAGTTTCTAGGGCCCAGGTGACAGGAGGATGTCAGCCCTGCCCAGGGTTTCCAGTCCCCACACAATCCATTCAAACCTGTGCCTGAGAAACAGACCAAGAAAATAATAAGCAACTTCGGATGAAAGAGCCCGGATGCTGAAATGTGCATGGGTTTCGGCAGTCAGTGGAACGTGAGCTTCCTTGCTATCCGTGTTGCCCCATCCCAGAAGAGGCCGTGTGCAGGGCGGCCCGTGTGAGTCCGGCCGTGCCGTGCCCGACACGCGGGGAGCGCTCCCCAGCGAGCACGTGGAGGCTGGAGGAAGCCAGCAGCATCAGGGCGTAGGTGTTTGCGGCGTTGTCTTGGCCGTGTGGCTGCTGCTGCTCTCCCCATCAGCGGAGTGCTGGCGCTGTGTGGAAATGAGATTGCTCGCGCATGGGGACCGGGGGCGGGGGCGGTGCATTGGCCTTCGTGCAGAGGCCCTGCCCAGCACGGGCCCCTGTGTTCAGGGTGGGTGTTGGGAACACAGTGAGGCAAGCAGGCACGCGGCAGCTGTTACACTGGTCTCGGCTCGGCACACTGCATTCTGCTCGCTGCGTACTTGACTGCAGGAAGGCCGGAACCGGGTGAGAGCCTGCGCATCCCCTGTGTCGCCGTTGCCTCTTCCCTCCCCGCGAAGCCGCCTCTTCAGCTCTAAGTCCGTCAGGAGGAGGCAGCAGGGCCGTGTCGGTGCAGCGGGTCAGGCCGCCACTGGCTCTGCCGGCATCCCAGAGCTCTGGTGTAAGTCCAGACCGCTCTGCCTCCGACCCTGCTCCCAGCTCATGCACCTGACGAGGTAGCAGGTGGTGGCCCAAGTGCCACCGAGGTGGGAGACCAGGATGGAGTTCCTGGCTGCTGGCTTCAGCCTGGCCCAGCTCTGGCTGTTGCAGCCATTTGGGGAGTGAACCAGTGGATGGATGTGTGTGTGTGCGTGCGTGCGTGTGTGTATGTCCATGTCCCTGTCCCTGTCACTTTGTCTTTCAAATACATAAAGAAAAGAGAAAAAGGGGCCAGGGTGGGGTGGACTTTTGTAAAAACTTACAGGTTCTTCTTCCCAGGAGAACTTGACCCAGACTCCATCGGCTGGTTCATTTCCCAAATGCCTGCCTACTGGGGACGGGATTAGACAGAAGCCAGCTGCCAGGGGTGCAGTCCAGGTCTCCCAGGTGGGCGGCAGGAACCCAACTTCTCGTTCCCTGTGTCCTGGGGTGTGCATCGGCCGGAAGCTGGAGTCATGCCCAGAAGTTGGTGTCACACCCCGCCATTCTAATGAGGTACGCAGGTGACTTAACTGGCGACTTTCTCACCAGGCTAAACGCCTGCCCCTCACTTGATTTTAAACAGACTGTCTTGCACTTTTTCCTGCACAGGACTGGAGGTATTGTTTGAATTGGTCTCGTGTCCTCTCGTGGTTATAAAGTGGCCGGTTTTATAGGATCGCAGGCCTGAACTGGAAGGAGGCCGTGTGACTGTAGGTTAATGAAAGCCACTTCCCCAGAGTGGCCAGAGACAGTGACCCTAACAGTGAGGACAGAAGGCCTGCCTTCCATTTGGTGGCCTTTCCCTGCACATCATTCTTACACTGAGTGCATCTGGAGCCTTCCGGAATCTTCTGGAACCCTGTTCTCTGAGGCTGCCTGCAGGCCTTCTCCCCGGCCTCGATCGCTGTTGCCGCCTTCCCGCAGGGCAGCTGTGTGCAGCAGCTGCGTGGGCACCTCGCCTGGCCCTCGTTTGTCTTGGTTCCTGGCTACAGAGAAGTCCTTCTGTGTGGCGGCAGGCTGGGGTTGTCATTCATCTGGCCTGCTCCCGGGCCTGCAGCGCACAGTTTGGGGGTGGCCAGCCCTCCCGAGGTGCTGTTGAGGCCACAGCTGTGTTTCACTCCGGGGACAGTGAGCCGTGCCGGCCTCCTGCGGCTGCCTGGGCCTCCCGGCTGGGGTGACCCCAGGGCTCCAGTGAGAATGGGCTGCCTCTGCTGTGAGCCGGGCCACAGGCGGGGGTGGGGACCATTTGGCAGCGTTCAAAGGGGACGTCTGTGAAGCATGAAGATTGAACTGACGGTGACCCCTCCGGAGAACAGGCCCGGAGCAAGAAGCCACCAGCCACTAATCCCATTGGCTTGCTCGGCAGGGTCTCACATCCGCTTAAGAGACAGAGTTGGGGCTGAAGGCAATAAAGTGGGCGCTAAATGAGCGGCGTGGGGGCCGTGGTTGTCACCGGGGAACAAAAGGCCGGGAGACCATTTCCCTGCCTCTCTGAGATCTCTATCTCGCAGAGGTGGCATCTGGGGATGCAGCAGAGCCCCCCCAGTCCCTCCCGGCCGGGTAATCCTGGAGCTGGATTTTCTGAGTGCTGGAGCAGGAATGACCAGCCGGTCCCTGGGAGGCAGGAACAAGGCGTCCCGCTGCGGGACACTGCCCGCCACCTGGCTGGCGGCATCCCCCAAAGCCGCCAGTGCACGCGCTGGGGAGGCCATGGCTGCCCGTGGCCCACCTGAGTGCCTCACTGGGCGCTGAGCCTGGCCCTGTGGGTTAACCTGAGCTGAGCACGAGCCACCCTGGGCGGGCTGCCTGCTGTCCGTGTCCGCTTCCTTTCCCCCCTGGTGGCACAGGCAGGCATTTCCCTGTGTGCAGGCGAGGGCGCCTGGCGGAGGGTGGAGTCATTTGCCCAAGGTCTCCCGGGGTATCTATTTCATTGTGGTGCCTCTGATCAGCTTGGGGAGCCTCTGACCGGCTTGGGGAGCCTCTGACCGGCTTGGGAAGCCTCTGACCAGCTTGGGGAGCCTCTGGCTGGCTTGGGGAGCCTCTGACCGGCTTGGGGAGCCTCTGGCTGGCTTGGGGAGCCTCTGACCGGCATGGGGGGCCTCTGGCTGGCTTGGGGGACCTCTGGCTGGCTTGGGGAGCCTCTGACCGGCTTGGGGGGCCTCTGGCATCCGCCCTGTGAGA